CTGTAGTGTTTACAGTAAGTTGTTTATCAATTTTATGGTACAGAAAATGTTCTGCAATCTTGCAGTTGCTGTTGTTCCTTTTTTGTGGGGCCTGAATGCTTTAATAAATATATTTTCTACAGTAAAAAAAAAAGGGGGGAAATCTTCCACGGTGTGATGTCTAACAAGACAAAAATAAGTTCTGTGTGTTTTCTTTTCTGTAAATAGGATAAGAAAGGTAATGTTTTCTCCTTTTATCCTTTTCATATAAAAACACTATTTTAAGACTCCACAGCATTTTTTTGTCTCTTCTTGGACGGATTGCAGGTAAGGTACGTCATGACTGACGGTGAAACTTCATTTCTTACACATAAAATAACTGAAAAAAATGTAGCTGCACCAAACCAAAACTGAGCTGCTTCTGAGATTCCAATTAGTGGAAAACATCAAGTGTAGGATTTCTGTGCAAAAACAACATTTTACCAATGTTGTTTTGATTTTTTATTGGTTTCAGTGGAAATATATTAAACACTTGTAATAAGACAAAACTAAGTTTTCTCCAAGATATAGCAGCTTGTTTTAAGTCAATAATTTTCTCATTTTGATAAGAATTATCAATATTAGTGGAAGTAGTTTTTAATCAATATAAATGAAGTCTGATGAAACTGCGAATGAGAGGTCATCTTGTAGTGCGGCAGAAACATCCAGAGCTGCAGATTCACTCAGAGCGTTCAGGCAGCATCTGTAGCTAATCTTCTAAGCTCACGGCAGCGTGAGGGAGAGGAGGCAGAATAATTGGTCATGCTTTCAAAAACTGCAAACAAACGAACCGATTTAGGCTGTTTTCACTTCTCATAGTTCAGTACATTTGGTTCGATTACGGACGTTCGTTACATTTTCAGCTGCTGTGGTTTCCTGTCATAGCATGTCAAACAATCCAAGCCCTTTGAGCAACCTGTTCCCCTCCTGGCCTGTGGGGGCACTGCACCAAGAACCATTGAAGGAAACGACAGAAAACATTGAGCACAACTTCCTTCTTTACAAAATGTAAAGAAAAATTGACTAGTGTCAAATTTTAGCGGTTGTAGAATTTCTCTTTTAATTAAAAACACCACAAGCCATTTCTCCCACTAGCGCTAACTTAGCATGTTGGCTGACGTTAACGCACTTAGCTTAGGGCTAATCTAAAATAATTTTTCCACATAATTTCTAGAGCGCTAATTTCCTTCACTTATTCTTTCAGTTGAATAAGGTTTGACATCTGTGCTAAAGTTTTGATCATTAATTGTTGAGACGTAAATTTCTAACACAGCTAATTTTTCATTTAGCACTTTTAATAATTGAAAGCATTTAGCGCACTTATCTTCCCTTAAATTAATTGAAGTTTTGGTTATCAGTTAAGAATTCTTCAAGCAGTTAGCTTTTAATGTTTATGCTCTTATTTTGAAGTGAGTGAAGACCGTTTATGGAGAAGTTGCACTTCCTGTCCTCGTGTTCATTTCTCCCCCCCCCCAAGAAACTTAATTGTTCAAATTGTATGTAGACAACAAATTAATATAACACTTCCATGACCAACCAACCAGGAAATGTAATTAAGCAAATATGCACAAAAAAATTCACATATGAATTAGCGCGTTTGTTTTGTTTGCATTTACCCAAAATTTCTAGGTCACTGTTGTTTTTTACTTTGCCTGCTATAGATTGATGATAAACGTTTGTTTTCACAAAAACTGGGCTAAAAAATAAAGATATCTAGAAATTGTGCAGGCATCCATTGCCTTGTTTTCTTAAAATATTTACAAAAATATCCCATATTTGGTAAAATAACAGCACCGATAATAAATCCTGGTATATATTTGGCACTACGGGCTGTTGTCGTTTTGAAAACATGCTTGGAGACAGTTAGTTATTTTAGCCGTAGTTCTATTTTCATTGTAATGACCTTTCACCACCTCCTGGTCCTGCAAATCACACAAATCCACCAGGACACATTCGTCTCTCCACAGTTCCCGAGAAGCCGCCGGGCCTCTGCTCCCACATGAACGCAAAACGTTTCTCCAAAGATTCAAACTGGGAACAATTCAACACCAGGTGTCGTAAATACACCGTCCAAATACTGGCAGAAATCGGAAAAATAATGCAATTTAGTGGGGCAGAGAAAACCAAAAAGATGGCTGTCCATTGATGAATGAATTACTTTTAATAATTTGTTAAATTGTCATACAACGCTATAATAAAGCAAAATTTAAAAATGAGAAAAAAGTCATATTTTAAAATTAAAATATGACTTTTATGTGTTTTTTTTAAGCATGGCTCAAATACTCCATCGCATTAATTACTTTTTTTATTATTTTGAAATTCTCCAACTTTAGTGTCTCCATGTAAATATTGTCAGCGCAACAATTTTCTCAGATCTTCTATTCTAAATCCTTATAATGAAATAAAACATTAAATGTTCCATATAGTCTTTAGTTTCTGCATGGCAACTCCAAAAGGTTACATTTCAAGCAAAAGTTATAAAACATACAAGGGATATTTTAATTAATTTACTATATACAGCTATTTTAATTGCCAATTTGTGCAAAAAATGTGTAGAAAAAGTCTAATAATTTTTTAAAGCATCGATTTGGTCAAAACAAATCAGATCATTTTTGCAGAAAGGCTTGCATAATAATTATCAATACTGTTCTCAGTTTATACAAGTGCAGACAAAACAGGAAGTTGTGAGTGAAAACGTGGTGATGTTTGAGCGCAGACTTCCTGTGGTGAGGAGAGAGTCCTGCAGGTAGCAGACAGTCTTTTTTAATCAGATTGTTCCCGAATGTCAAGACGCCCTGAGGGTTCAACCACCCACCTGTTTGAGACCCAATCACCTAAAAACTAAATCATGAGCCCCGACGGGAAACATCGAGGGAATCCACACAAGGATCGCCTCTGGCTGATGCACAGCGGGATAAAAAAAAAAAAACACAAAATAACGGTTTTCCTGTCACTTACTCTAAAATTATTAGATTTAATTATGTGGTGGGTCTCTTGGTATTGTTTGTAACAGTAAGCTTTACAGCCACAAATAAAAAATCTGTCAGTTTACAACATTTTGATAAAAATGCCAGTTGGTTTTCTTAGGGTGTTTTCACACCTCATAGTTCTGCAGATTCATTTCAATTTGTTCCATTTCCTGGCCCTGTGGTTCTCTTTCTCACTACACATCGTCAAACCAACCAAACTAGCTGAAAAATCTCTTCCCCTCCTTACCTGTGGGGGGCGCTGCACCCGGAAGCACTGACGGAGAAACTTCTAGAGAAGATACTGAGCACAAATTCCTTTGTTACAAAATGTAAACAAAAACGGAGCGGCATCAGATTTCAGTGGTAGTAGCATTTCTCTTATTTTTGGCTATTTTCTTTTCATGTTGTTTCCTTCAGATGTTCTTGGTGCAGCGCCCCCACAGGCCAGGAGGGGAACAGGTTTTTCAAAGGGTTTGGTCGGTTTGACTCAATGCAGTAAGAAAAAGAACTGGAGCAACTGAATGTGTAACAAATGTTATAATGTTGGTCCCCAATCCAAGGAGTCTACCAAGGACAGAAATATCCTCTAATTTTGCTCAGAGGGGAAATTCAAGTGTCACAGCAGCAAATTAAGGTAACTGGAAGCACATATATTCACACATAAGTTAAAAATATATGAAAAAAAGAATAAGATATATAAAGTGAGAATTCTTTAAGATAAACAAACACGTTTTCTAACATCTCTTCACTTTTTCTCTTTTTCATTTTCTGACATCCACTTCTTTGTTTCCTATTTTAGTTTCCCTCTCCTTCTTCCATCTCTCCATTTTTCCCTCTTCTAATTTCCTTTCTTCATTTTACCGAGGCAGAAGCAAGAACAGCAGCAGGAAGCTAATAAACGTCGGGACTAAGAGAGATTCAAGGCAGTCTTAGTGGTTTGGTGAACTTGAACTAACCTTGATTCTCTGCATTCCTCTGCAAAGTCATCATAATCTCTGCTCATTTAATAACTGGATGCTAATCTGATCAGGCTAAGTGCTCAGAAACAACCGAGATGAGACGAAGCTGTCCTTAGACCTCCAGGCCAGACGGATGTGATGTAAAGAGTTCAGGCTAAAAATGCAGAAAAATTAAGACAAAAAACTGACGACCCAGAGTCACCTACGGAGAACAATCCAGGTAAAACAGGAAAAAGTTTCAATCCTATGTTGAGGGAGAACAGAAATGCATTAATATTCCATATATTCCTATTGAAGGGGCGGTATTATTTATTTTCCAGGCACATTCATTGCAAAAAAATTTTACCAACTCACCCTCTCTTTTTATCCCCTATTTTCACCCTCAGCTAAACCAACATGATTTTTGCCCAAAATCAGTTTTAAACTTTGGAAATTCGGAATAATTTTAACAATAAAATAACAGCAGTTGTTCTACTAAACAGTCTGATACAATTACGTTAATGTATTTATTCAGAAAAAAGACAGGCTAAACAGGCTAAACAGCCTCAGCATTCACAACACAGCTAAGCTAGCAGTGTGCCAGAGCGGAGGGTGATTGACAGCGCTAAGAACTTGAGTAACTTTATTATGAAGCATTTCTGCTCCTACTTGAGTAAAATTTCTGGATTTTCTTTCCACTGAATGAAAAACAAACATGTTTTAACCAAAAATTCACCATTCACAGACACACCTGCAGTTTCTGTTGAAGTTTATGAAGCTTTTTAATTGAAAGAAACTGAGCTGGAAAAATTTCATTTGTTATTTTTTGTTACTCGTATGAATTATCGTCACTTTAGTCCTTAAAATACCCAAATTTTAAGGCCAATCTGATGATATCATTTTGAAATATTAAATGATTGATAACTGGATCAGTTACTCTGTGCTTGACTTTTCACCAAATACTTTTTTACTCTTACTCGAGTAATTTCTGGATACTTTTTCCCTTTACTTGAGTAGCAATATGTTGAAGTAGCAATACTCTGACTTGGGTAGAGTTTTTTGGTACTCTACTCACCTCTGACCTTAGAAAATGGCCGACGCCGCTGTGTTAGAAGTGTTCCTGTCAGGTTTACCCTGGTCCCGGTGGTTCTGGGAAATGAAGTCCAGGAGACGGTTTTCTGTCAGGACAGTAGAGGCACAAAAGGTCAGTTTATGTAACAATCCGGCGTCAGCTAAATCCTCTTTACATAAGTCAGCTTATGGAGCAGCAGACTTTCTGAGAAATAACTGTTATTATCACTGAAAACCAAATTAAAGTATGCTGCAATTACTCAAGTATTAAACAAAATTAAAGCTTTTTTTTATGAAGCGTTTAGATGTGTAAATGTTTCACATATCTGACTGTGTGGAAAGCAGTAAGTTGCATGATAAGGAGAGAAAGCGACACTCCTGCCATCATGCTGACTTGTTTCAGTTACGTAACATCCAGATCAGAGTCACATTTCAAATGTCTGGACAGCAGGATTTTATAGAGACAGATGGAGGTCAGAAAAACCCTGAGAATTCATTTAAACACTTTTATGAAGATACCTGTTTTACAAAACTGAACATGTACGCTCATTTTCAATATTTTATTTAGGAATGGACCCAGGGGTTTATTGTTAATAATTAATATTGCGATCACTGCACTTCAGTTTTCACATTTGACAACTTTTCCAGCTGCTTTATACGTTTAATTAGGTTTTTACTTGTGATCAACTTTGATAAGAATCAGAAATGATTCTGTGAAAATTAAACATTTGTTTAATAATTCAAGACTATTTCATGAAATTAAGGGTGATGTTATTTTTGGGGTGTGTGAGGTTAAGCTTCACTGCATATATTTATTTTTAATCATTTAACACAAGTCATAAAAAAACATTTTACATTTCCAGACAAACTGATGGGAGAGAGTACGGCCTTCAGAAATTTACGCCTTCAGCATAAATTTTAAATTTAGTTTTATTTACTCTCTCATACACAAAGAAATGCTAATTTTTAAGTCCTACATTTATAAATATCAGTTCTACATTAAATATTTAATTTGAAAGCTAAATATTTTGTTTTCAAAATAAATATTTTACTACAAATTAAACATTTCTCTCAGTATGTATGTATTTCCAAACTTTTTATTGAAAAAAAAGTAAACAATTTCCAAACTAAACATTTAATTTCCCCCTCTGTACCCCACACACACACACACACACACACACACACACACACACACACACACACACACACACACACACACACAAGGACTTGTTGCCATAGCAACTGACAGCAATGCCACTATCTGTTTCAAGATTCGATACCAAAATACACACAAACATTTTCCATACAAAAAACAGAACTTTGAGTCCATTACTTTTAGCTACGGCTGCTGTTAGTCAAGCTAATGGGGGCGGGATATTACACACCTGACATCATACTTTGGAGTGTATTTTTTTAGTTTTGGAGCATCCAGAGGTTCGTTCTGCCACTGATATTTTATATATATTCTCTTACCAACCTGGAAACTTATCACATGTGTCGTCTTTTGTCTCTGCTGATGTCAATACTGGTTTGCAAGTCTAATGTTGCCTTAATGTAAATGTTGGACTTTACACCTGGAGGTCACAGACAGATGAAGGTGGAACGCAAGCCATGCAGATATTCCTGCAACATCAGCAGTACGGGACCAACTGAAGGGGCATGAAGGTGAAGCGTTTGTTTCAGTGATTGATCTGCAGATCTTCAGTAATGATCGGGGGTTAATCACTGAAGGAATGGGATCACAGAGTTCCTCTGAGACAAGGTGAGACACCCAGAAGAAGCTATGCTCTGGAGCTTCAGAGGATTTCTTCTTAGTTCAATTTTATCCCATAAATAAAATAATATTGAGAAACTAAACATTTAATTTTAAAAAATATTTAGCTTATTTAGGTAGCTAGCTACATCTTCATCAAAAGCAAATATTCATTTTGGAACTACATATTTAGCTTGCTAACTCAATATTTAGGTAGCAAGCTAAATATTTAGTTAAAGTAAATATTTGCTTTTAAACTTGATACTTAGTTTGGAAAATCGATATTTAGTTTGAAACTAAAATAGATATATTTTGAAGCAAACTAAATGTTTAGCTCAGACTTAAACATTTAGATGGTAACTAAATATTTAGCTTGCTAGCCACTTAGCTAAGTGGATAGAACCAAAAATATAGACAAATATTTGTAAATGGTTTAGCCACTTCGCTACATAATAGCTTATTGGCTAGTATTCAGCTAGCCGGGGGAATATTTAGGTTGTGAATTAATATTTAGTCTGGACCTCTGACATTTATAAATGTGAAATAACATGGTGAAAATATGTCTTCAATCTTAGAAAGTAAAATAAACTAGTATTTTGAATTAAACCTTTATTTACAGGCACGTCACAACGTCATGCGAGAAAGATCCGGTCCTCCATTTCCCAACTCAGGGCAAGAAACTGCTAACAACCGCTGAGTTCAGTCGATCACTTATTAAACCTTTAACTTCACTTGTTAAAGGTTCACTGTACACATCTACCAACATTTTAAACGTTATAAAGTAACTTACCTTGTATCTGTCAGCCAGAAGATTAAAATTACTTTAAACTCAGCAAATTTAACAGTTGGCAAACGGAGCACTTAAATTTACTTCCGCTACATGAAATACTGCCAAAATAAGAGCTTGAATTTCAAAATAAAACACACGGTACTTCAAAATTTTACAATTAAATAACTAAACATAAAACAACTATATTTAAATATTTTTTTCAGTGTTATCGGTTCTTTACACTTATACTAACTGTTGTACAAAAATAACCAAAACTGAAATTAATCATATAAAACATATCAGAAAACAAATGAACAAGCACCATAAGACCAAATCAATACTCCTGAAAATCTTTAAAACACGTGGAAAGCAAATGGTCAGGACCGCTTTAATATGCAACAAGATAGTCTGAATGTTTGGAAGGTAAATATAAAAAATAAAGGATGCAGCAAAATACTTTCACAACACTATGGATTCCTAAATTGCACTTTTAATCTGTTTCCAATGTTGTTGAAGGAAGCATTTGTGGAGTTAAAATATTGCTTCTGAGCAAAAATTTTAAAATGTACTTTCAAACATTGATTTTTTTTATCTATTCGTTAAAAATAAATGTAATTATAGAGGAGCTCAAAATTGCAAAACCCATCTTTAGGCTGCAACTGACCATGATGCAGGATGTGTGTGGGGTTTTTTTAAAAAGAAAAATGAAAGTAAGATATGTTTTTTAATATTTTAAACATTTTCTCAATGTTAGGAAAACTGAATGTGTTTTTTGAAATAGTAATTTGAATTTTTCAATATTTTCTACAACATTTCATCTGTTTTCAAATAAATAAATAATAATATTTTGGTCCATCTTTGCCGTTTCCAGCTTCTCTGTGATCACAGAGCATCATCTCTGTCTGCATCCGCCATGAAGGTCAAGACAAGGAGCTTCACACATTCACACAAAAAATAAATAAATAAATCATATAAAACACACTCGCATTGTTCCAGGAATTCATGCATGAACCGCGATCCTGCAACACACCAACAACCTGCACCAATCCGCCTCTTACCGCAGCTTTAATACACCAAGACTCTATTAAATTTGAAAAAAACACACAAAAAAAACAGCTTTCAGGGTATCGAGCGATCCAAACAATGGGGGGAACTGGCATTGGGGTTTCCATGGCAACTGCAGCAAGCTGCTAAGAGGGCTGCTTTGATAACATATGTCAGACTTGACTGCTTTGTTCACAGAGAGCCAAGCAACAGATTCTGAGTCTGAAATGCAAAGAAAACTCCAATAACTCACAAAAAAGAAACCGTCAAATCAGTCCTTTTAGGTTCGTAATGCTCCAAAATATAATTTAATCTGTAGCAATCAGAGCAGTTTCTGTAAATTAGGGATTGCAAAATACAATGACAAATTTAAAAACTCATAATTTCTGTAAATGGAGCTGCAGCTGTAAGAGTGCAGAGTGTAATTTGTTGTCTTTTTCCTGCTCGTCTTCATGTCTGTGGTGACTGAACTCCTGTTTGTGTCTGCAGCATCAGCAGCAGCAGCGGCGGCGTTGGGTTGGGTGGGCGGCTTATACCGCAGCGGCTCAGCGCTGTATCATTGCCACACGCGACACGAGGAGCAGGGACAAACAAGGAGGCAGACAGATGAAAATAATTGGGAGAATAGTGAGGATGGGAAGATGTTTCTCAGGGAGGAAGACGGATGCGTCAGGCAGAAACATTAGTATGCAACCAAGTTGTTGGTTCAGTTACAGGACTGAGGCTGACACACAAGAACCAGCGACAAAAACGCCGCAAACATCCAGTTATTGCTCAACTTATTAACATATCTGGCAACATAGATGTAGCTGCACTTCAGTCACAATCCAGGCCATGACAGCAGCTGTGCTGCAACTTTTAGTTGATTACACTGCAAAAACATAAAGTCTTATCAAGTATTTTTAGTGCAAATAACTTAAATTCAAAGTTTTAAGCAAGACATAAGAGCTTGTTTTAACCCAACTACCAAAGTTATTTCTATTTTATAAGACTAACCATAAAAATGATTTGACTTTCTTTAGAGTTCTGATAAATATCTGTATGTTTTATTGAATCTTTTATTTTTACCATTGTCTGTTGGTTTGGACTTCTGAATTTTGTCTGAAAAAATTGCTGGAGTAAATCTAAAGATTCACTACAAAATGCAAGACGGTCTGATTTTAATTTAAAGAAACATAAAGGGAAAATGAAATCTGCCTATTTTCAGCTGCAAAATACAAAAACTGCTTTAGAAAACAACATAAAGTCTGCATAGAATCATTATCATTAAAAGTTTTAATTACAAATATCTGTCCAAAAGTCTTTATATATCTCATATTTCTTTTTATTTGTCTCCCAAAGAAACAGAGTTTTTCCTAATCTTTAAAGTGGTCCAGTTAAATCGTTCTCCAGCATTTCTGAAGGTCTTTCAAAGGACTTTGGCTCCATTTCAGCCCAGAGTCTGACCCGTTTCAATTTGTCTTGAGCCACGTTACTTTCACCAGTAAATCATTTAAGAAGAACCCACAACCCCTGAACTTCTCCCCATTTTCTTCTTTAATTAAAACCTATCGAACTCAAACATGGCCATTATGGAAGAAAACGTGAGAAGAAAGTTATTGCTGTAAGAAAGATATCAGTTTTTTCTAATCTGTGAGGGAAAACTGGGAGGAACTCCTCGATCCAAAATGGCCGCTCTTCGCACTAACTTTAGAAACACTGTATTTTTGTATGACTACAACTTTTTGAGTATTTTACACTTATTACTTAAGTCGTTTTGTATTCTTGAAGGTGAACATTATTTTTGTACGTTCCAAAACTTTTACTTTGACTGCAGTATTTTTTCATACACAAATATCTGCATTAGGGCAGCTGTACAACAATATTCTAGTAATCGAGTGCTTTATCGATTATTGTTACGATTAATCAAGTAATCAAAAAAATCTAATCACGTCAATCAATTGAAGGATGCTTATTATTGGTCGCTCAAGAAAAACAAAAAACGATAAATACGGAGAAAACTGAACGTTATGCTACTAGCGCTTAGCAACAACTCAGGCGGAAGTGAATAATGACCGGCCGGAAGTCGGTGCACTAAATAATAAAACATAATATAACGAAGCTTCGAGGCAGGTTAATTTTTCTAAATTATTTTAATAACTGAAATACTCAAATCGCTACAGCGCTACTAAGATAAACACCAGAGATATTTACTGTAGTACTTACTGCCAAACTAACAAGATTGGCTTAGCTAATGTAGCTTTTAGCTGCTAGCTAAGACGGACACTTACCAAGATGGCGGTTCTTGTGGGGAAACGAGTCTCAGTTCCTCTGCTGCAGATTTTCAAATTTTTTGTTTTGTTTAATTTTGTTATTTCTTCTGAAGAGTGCGGTTGTGTGTTTATTGGTTTGATTTGAAGTGTGTGTGTAGGGGGGGTGATAATCTGCCCCCCACTCCCCCCTCCTCTCTCTCTGTCTCTCTCTCTCTCTCTGTCTCTCTCTCTCTCTCTCTCTCTCTCTCTCTGTCTCTCTCTGTCTCTCTCTCTCTCTCTCTCTGACTCTCTCTCTCTCTCTCTCTCTGACTCTCTCTGTCTCTCTCTCTCTCTGACTCTCTCTCTCTCTCTCTCTCTCTGACTCTCTCTCTCTCTCTCTCTGACTCTCTCTGTCTCTCTCTCTCTCTCTCTCTCTGACTCTCTCTCTCTGACTCTCTCTCTCTCTCTCTCTGACTCTCTCTCTAACTCTCTCTCTCTGACTCTCTCTCTCTCTCTGACTCTCTCTCTCTCTCTCTCTAACTCTCTCTCTAACTCTCTCTCTCTGACTCTCTCTCTCTCACTCTCTCTCTCTCTCTCTCTCTCTCTGACTCTCTCTCTCTCTCTCTCTCTCTGACTCTCTCTGTCTCTCTCTCTCTCTCTGACTCTCTCTCTCTCTCTCTGACTCTCTCTCTCTCTCTCTCTCTAACTCTCTCTCTCTCTCTCTCTCTCTCTGACTCTCTCTGTCTCTCTCTCTCTCTCTGACTCTCTCTGTCTCTCTCTCTCTCTCTCTCTCTCTCTCTCTCTCTCTCTCTCTCTAACTCTCTCTCTCTCTCTCTCTCTCTCTGACTCTCTCTCTCTCTCTCTCTCTCTCTGACTCTCTCTCTCTCTCTCTCTCTCTCTCTCTCTCTCTCTCTCTCTCTCTCTCTCTCTCTCTGCGGTCCTCAGCACGTCTCGGTTGCCATGGCAGCGCTCGCATTGCCGCAGGCTGGCTGTAGCGCGGCGCGCGGGTTGAAAAGGAAAGAGACGGATCACTGCGGAGGGCGGGGCGGAACGGGCGAGAATATGTTTTCCAATTCATTAGCCCGACACCAGACCCCCCCACAAAAACACTCCAAAAAAAAAAAAAAAAAGCAGGAACCATCCCCCCTCAGACCCGCCAGAAAGGCCTCGGCGCTGCTCAGTAGTCCACACACGTTGGATCTAAACTTCAGACTGCATTTATTATTCATCCCCGTCTTCTTCCACGGCAGACAGCTCTGCAAGCGAGCACACACACACACACACACACACACACACACACACACACACACACACACACACACACACACAGAAACATAAATTGCATCAGTCTACTGCCTTCAGATATCATGTATTACAGTGCAGAATCAGCCTGCTGATGATAACCGCCTGCAGAAGGAGACGCCTCAATTCACCCAAACATGTGGACTTTCATCTTGTCTTCTGCCAAATTCAGACAAGCTTTTTGTTTATTTTTTTTTATTATCATTATTTCTCCCCGGCATCATTACTGTGTTCAGATGCAGCTCTGTTGCTCTACACTGCAAAAACACAAAATCCTACCAAGTACTTTAGCTTTAGTTTCTAGTGCACATATCTTAGTACAATACGTTGAAAAGTAACTTTTCAGCAACAAACAAGACACTGCTGAAGGTCAATTATCTCTTCATATTGATGAAAAAGTTCTGGTTCCACTTGCTGATTATTTCATCTGTAACAAGACGTTGTCCCCGTGTTGTTACTGAAATAATCTGCGAGTCGAACCAGAATTTTTTCATCAATATTAAGGAATTATTTACATAAAACTGCTTTTTTA